CAATTAAAAGAAATATTAATTTTGCCGTTTCATTTAAAATTTTGTGAACACCCAATATAAAATCAAATTAAAATCCAATCTAAAATACCCCTCAGGCCAGCCCCGCTAGCTGGAATAGCCATGTCTTGAGGGTGCGGCGGAAGGAGGGGAGATCCGGGATGACCCGGATCTCTGGGGGTAGTTCGTTCCATAGGGAGGGATGGAATAACTTCCTGGGACAGTCTCTAAAACCCAGTGAATTGTACATGAATCGCTCACCTCCTGCTTACAATGCCGGTGGGCATTTCCCACCCAGTCTGTCTTCCTGCCACTTCAAAAATGGCGTGCCTTGATTTATCGATTGGGGAAAGCACAGAGTCCGTGAGAATTTCTGAGCCCGGCGCTTGTCAAGTCTTGCTTAATTGAGAAAAAAGACCCAGGAAAAGAGAAACTACAGTAGGGTGGTTTTTCCCCCCCCCCCAGCCATTTTAGCATCTCTCAGTATAGGGATAGTCCTCAACCTACGACCACCGTTGAGCCCCAAATTGACGTCGCTAAAGGAGACATCTGGTTAAGTGAGTTTTGTCCCCGCTTCACCACCTTTCGTGCCGCAGTTGTTGAGTCAGCAACCCGGCTGTTAAGTGAATCTGGCTTTCCAGAGGTCACAAAAGGGGAACCACGTGACCCCGGGACCCTGCGAGGACCGTCGTGAATACGAGCCATCTGAATTTTGATCACGTGACCCCCGGGGGAGGCTGCAGCGGGCGTGTGAAAAACGGTCAACCGTGCCGTTGTAGCTTCAAATGGTCACTAAACGAACGGTTGTAAGTGGAGAACCTTTCTCCCCTCGTGTTTATGTTTATGGGGGGAGGAAGGGAGGGGCCACGGCGCCCCCCATGCGAGGCTGCAGCCTGGCTGTCTCTTCTTCCATCTTGTGACCCAGCAGAGTTCAGCTCCAGGCAGAGCAGAAACAGGTGTATTGCTTAGTGCCAAACATCCTTGGCGTGGCAAAAATGTTTGTGAGCACAAAGGACGTGAGAGGTCCCTGGTTCCAAAGACAGCCAGTCCCTGGCTTTATTGGGGGAGATGAGGGGAGGGGAGGAGAACAGAGGAGAGAGCGGAGCCAAGAACAAGAGAGAAGAGAAGAAAAAGAGAAGGGGAGAGAAAGAGAGGAGGAGAAAGGGGAGGAGTGGAGAAGAAGAAGAAGAACAAAGAAAGGGGCCAGGGGAGGAGAAGAGAAGAGAGGAAGAGGAGAGTAAAGGAGTGAGGAGAAGAGTGAAGATAATGGAGGAGAGGAAGAAGGAAAAAATGGAGCAGGGGGAGGAGAATAAAGGAGAAGCGTGAAGGAAGGGGAGGAGAGGATTTGAGAATCGGTCCTGCCCCCATTGACTGGGCAAAATGGGGGTGAGCACCCCCCAGACCATTGAGCTTGGACCTTGCATTACCTCTTCCTTGTCTCTACCAGCTGTCATCTCTTGCTAAAACAAGGCCAGAGATGGCTCTGGGGCGGGGAAAGGGGGTTTGATATTTTTAGAAGGTGCACACGTGCACACACAAACACACACACACACACAGAGAGAGAGACCTTGTCCTTTGGTATCAGGGCAATGAATCAACAGCAACCAGATCGCGAAAAAAAGAAAGCTTAAGAATATAGTCCAGAAAACCAAAATACTGTATATAATTTTTAATGTTTGTTTTGGCACTTTCTATTTTTTCTCCTCCTCCTCCTCCTCCTCCTCCTCCTCCTCCTCCTCCTTCTTCTTCTTGTATCGTCCTTAGTTTGCATTGCTGTTCATCTTTTTCATGGTGTTGTATAATATATGTTTTGCCCTGAGTGATCTGCCCGGTCGGTCACCATGAAATATATATCCCCAAATCTTCAGCAGATGGGTGGCTGCCCCAGAAGGGCCCTTTAAGCCTCCCCTCTCACCTCTCTGGCTGTCCACATTTAACCCACCTAGTTTTCATGAGCGCTTTCAGCTCCTCGTCCTCCTCCCCGTCTTTATGGATCAACAGCTTGGCTCTCTTGGCAGAATATGAACTCGGTGCTGAAAACGGTTCTGGATTTGACCTACCCCATCACCTCCATGTTCTCCGGAGCCTCCTTCAACAACGGGGTCTGCAACATCTTCAGAGATAAGCAGATCGAGGTAGGTGTGCGGGTCCGTGCCCAGCGCGACACAGGAAGGGAGCGGGGCTGAAAGATCGGAGAGTTTTTGACAGTTGTGTCTTTAAGATGGGTTGTGTGTACATGTCTATGGAGGTTCTCCATCATCCAGGTCCATGGTTGTCCCAAAGATGCTTTTTCATGAGGCAACTGGTCTTTCTTTTTTTCTTTGAAGACGTTTCGCTTCTCACCCCAGAAGCTTCTTCAGGTTCTGACTGGATGGTGGGGAAAGGGAAGGATTTATACTCCTTACAGACAGCTGGTTGTTTGCAATTCTTTTAGAGAGTCGCTGAGGCCACTTGGAGGTTTACCTGTGACACATTAGGCCACGTTAGACAACTAGGCACCCCTGGGTGTTCAGATCCGGTGTTGGATTATCTTGCCCGCCTTGATTCCTCTCTCTAATGAGCTCTTTCTGTGCGGCAGGATCTCTGGATTCCTTTCTTCATCATCACCACAGACATCACGGCCTCGGCTATGAGGGTCCACACCGATGGTAGGGAGCCTGCGAGAATTGGGGGTGATTTGGGCAGGGATCATCTTGTGTGCAGAAAGAAAGAAAAGAGAGAGAGAGAGAGAGAAAGAGGAAGGAAGGAAGGAAGGAAGGAAGGAAGGGAAGGAAGGAAGGAAGGAAGGAAGGAAGGAAGGAAGGAAGGAAGGAAGGAAGGAAGGAAGGAAGGAAGGAAGGAAGGAAGGAAGGAAGGAAGGTTCAAAATGTCAAGTAGATCTAACATTAACATTAAAAAAAATCCCATCCCAGCTGAATGCGGGAAGATACATCCAAGAATTATACGTTCTCCTCCCCTTACTTAACGGGCCTCCCAACAATTCTAAACTTCCTTTTTCTTATTTCTCTAATTGACTCTTGGAAGGAGCCAAGACGAAGTCAAGGGAAAGAAGTCACCTGGGCCTAAGCCTGCCTTCCAAAAGCTAAAAGGCCCAGAATTGTAATTAACTAATTAAAGGGCTTTTCGATGACTTTATCCCCATCAGCCAAGAAAGAACCGGCTTGACAGCAGATTGGCTGGGCAGCCTATTTTCAAATCCTCCCCAACTGCGAAACGAATTGCCTGGAAATCACGCCGGGCGTCCCCCGTCTCCGTGGGTAGCTTCTCTGCCCCTCGCTTGCTTCTTTCTTCGGGGCTCAAAAAAACCCCGAACCCCAGAAATACGTGGACTTCCCACCCTGCTGGTTCAGGAGAGCCGTGACTTAGGAAGGCGAGGCTGGAATTTTCCCGGCTAGAGAGCGAATCCAACCCCTTTTTTTTTCCTGCTGATTAAAACAACTCGGCTTGTAATGGAGATAAATCTCCTCCTGACAGTGCAGAAGAGGACGGAGCGAACCGGTTTAAGAGAGCCGCAGAGTCTCCTCCGTGCCCCCGTGGTTGGGTAGGAAGATCGAGGGGGCTTCTGCAGAATCCTGCCCAGATTGGGCTTCTTCTCAGACTCCTAGTCTGTTCCCCAACCTGCCTTGGAGAGAAGCCCAACCAAGCCATTTATTTGTTCTACCCTCGCCCAAAGTTGGCCAAAGTCATTGGCCAACGCGGTGAGATGGTTTACAGTAAAATACAGGTCGTCCTCAACTTAACGACAGCTCATTTAGTGGCTGTTGGAAGTTACAACGGCACCGGAAAAAGGGACTTACGGCCGTCTCTTTCACACTTACGACCATCACGGCATCCCCAGGGTCATTTATTTATTTATTTATTTATTTTTCATAATTTATATGCCGCCCTTCTCCCCACGGGACTCAGGGCGGCTCACAGCATATTAAAATAACACAATACAAACAACACACACAACATTTCCCCTATAAAAGCCAATTAAAACCAAATATTTGTAGCTGTGACATTATTAAAATCATTAAAAA